GAAAGTGATTATGAATGTGGTGTGGAGGACATTGACGTCACACTCGGAGTAGAGTGGGTCTCAAGGGTTGACATGGTGAGGCAGGCCGTGAAGAACTTAGGAAAGCACTTGAGTGAGGTCGATGGAAAGTTCAAGACACTTGAGGACTTTACCCTTGAGGAGAATGACAACATCCGCAAGGAGTTAGAGGGCCGCCAGCGTGCCGAGTTTGAGATGAAGGAGGCCATCACATCCTTGGAGTGTCAGCTCATGGATGCACTAAACACAATTGAAATCATGAGGGTTGAGATGAAAGCACTCCAGGAGGGCGTGAAAGTTCGAGGACCATCATCGTTCAACCGAGATAAAGAGGTCAAGGTCGAGGCTCCTAAGTCACCTATGTTCAAAGGCACTCATGACACACAAAAGGTGGAAAATTTCCTATGGCACTTGGAGAATTACTTCAAGTGCAGCCGAGTGAAGAGCGACGAAACAAGATCAACATTCTCGTGTTGTATCTTTTAGAGATGGTCATGCTATGGTGGAGGCGCAAGGAATCCGAGATAGGCAAAGGTCTTTGCACCATCAACACTTTGGAGAAATTCCGAGAAGAGTTCAAGAAGGCTTTCTTCCCTAACAACGTCATCTATGAGGCCAGGCGTAAGTTCATGGAGCTGAAGCAGACATGCAATATTCAAGCGTACGTGAAACAGTTCACCACTCTCACGCTTCAGATTCCCAACATCACATATGAAGACATGTTGTTCCACTTCATAGAGAGATTGCAGAATTGGACCAAGACGGAGTTGGAATGACACCAAGTCAAGACCATCGATGAGGCCATCGCACAAGTCGACCTTAATCGACTCCAAGCATGACAAACACGACAATGGGAAAAGAAAGGACATGAGGACTAGTCATGCCAAAGGTTGGGGAGATCGTGGCTGAGGCAAGGAGTAACAACCACATCCTAAGATATACGACTGCTACAAGTCGGATGGCAAGTGGTTCGGGCACCAAAACTATACAGAGAGGATGGCACAAACTACAAAGGGAGACGATTGCTATATATGCGATAGAAATCATGGTAACACCTTAGAATTTATTAAGTTTGGTTGGGAAAGGATGTTGCTGAAAAGTTCGTGGTGTAGTGGTCACAGACTTATGTACGGTTCTTCGAGGGGTGCACGAGCCGTAGATCAAGCCGTGGAGTTAAACCCAGTGTAGGAATTTTTATGGCTAGTTTAAGAGTGAGTTCACGGACCGTGAATTGGTCCACAACCCATTGACCTACTTGTGAACAAAACCACAGGTACTCAGGAAATTCTGATCCTTCACGGATGCTTGAACGATTCGTGGAAGGATGAACGGTCCGTGAAGGCTTTCGTTATGGGGTTCATTCATTTTTAAGTTAAAGTTATTTTAGTCTTTTACTATGCATATAATACCTATTATATGTGGTTTTGACCATAATTCTTAGCCCTATAACTACCATCCACCCTTATAAATTTCCCCAGCTCTTTCATTCCCTCAAATTTCCAAAACCCTCTCCAAAGTTTTCTTCAAAAATCCTCTGTGTAGATCAAGGAAGAAGAAGCTAGGGTTCTTCAAGATCAAGTCTTCTTTATTCATCATTGCTTAAGGCTTCAATCAAGGTATGTAGGGAGTTCATCAATGGGCTTCATTCACCCATTGAGTCCCTAAAGTTTCTTCAGTTCTCCAATTCAATTTCTCAGAATTGATTAGATTTTCATTCAATTCATCATGGGTTCTATATGTATGGATTCAATTGATTGATTATGATATTATTTTGATGATTTGGACTCAATTACATTATTTTCAACTAATTCCATGTGAAATCATGCATGATCTATAATTTTGACCATGAACCCTAATTTGCATGAATTTGAAGAGAAGCTAAGTCAATGAATGATGTTTTCATGAACTTATGCATGATATATGAAAAGAAAGGTTTTACGATCTAGGTTTCTATAAGATTGGCATCAATGAAATTGTGAAAGGTTTTCTCACATTAAGGAATCATTTCTTGGTGAAAGGTTTTCTCACTTAGACTTGATTCAAGAGTTAATGAACTACTCTACAATGTTTAAGCTTGGATTACTAATTGAATAAATTTTTCCATGTATGATGATGACTTAATGAAAATGACTATTCAGTTGGTATTTTACTTAGGACCAAGAGAACTTTGAGGTGGAGACTAAAATAGGATAGTCTCTAATAGCAACCTCTAATTCCAAACTATGAGCCCCCGTAGGTTTGCCTTAAATGACCTAGCTAGTGGATCCACATATAGTATATGACATGATACATAGTTCTACCTTGGCAAGTAGACTCTCCCTTCTTGATGAGGGAGTAACATCGGATTCCGTGTATAGCTCGCATGATTTATTATCGGTTAAAGCTAATATCCCACAAAATGAACTAAGTTACCTTCAAAATGTTTTATGAAGCTTTCCTTATGATTTCAAGATGCATTTACCATATTTATGATTATGATCCTATTTGAAGGTTTTTACTATGCTAGCTTGGTTATGCATATCATGTTTTCGATTATGTCTCATTATGATCATGTCTCATGTTTTATTGCATTCTCCTCATACTTAATACATTTCATGTACTAATTCATACTTGTGCTTACATTTTCCACTAATGTAGGGCGTGACGACTCCTCTCCTACCGTTCGTGGCTAGTTGATCATCATAGAAATTGATGACTTGGTGAGTTCCCATACTTCGAGGACTTTGTCACATTTATTGCTTTTCTTATGTTTTCAATTTTCATACTTTGTATGTGGTGTACGGGTTACATCCTGACTACTCCTTTTGATGTAATAGCTGGCTTGTCAAGACTTTATTGTACTTCTGCTTATATGTCAAACTCTTTATTTCTTATGAGATTTCTTGCTTTTCTCTATTGTGTTGTATATATGTATGCCAAGTGGATTGTGTAGGGCCTCTCAGGGTCTTATACGACATGTTACATCTAGGGTGTACTTTAGATTGTGACAACAAAATACACTTAAGTCTAGGGGTGTTCACGGTTTGGATGAAAAACCAATCCAAACTGAAAAGTCAAGCCAAACCGATTAAATAAATCAATTTTATCTGGGTTTGGATTTGATTTTGTTAAAAAATGAAGAAATAATCGAACCGAACCGATAAATTATATGCATATATTTTATTATTATTATACATGCATATTATATTATTTTTATAAATAATTTTAAATACCTTATATATGTTTTCATCAACATTTATAATTTATTTATGGAAGCAAAAACGTTCAAGATTAGAATATTTATCTTATTGGTTTCATGTCTATGACTGTCTATGAGAATTCTTGGTGGGACTAGGAATGTCATTGTCTCTTCCTTCTAGGCCAGAATTAAGGGTGTGTAAAAATTGAACTGACCGATAAATTGAACCGAAAAAGTGTTATTGGGTTATTACTATTGGGTTAACTGTTTTTATGGTTTTGTTAAAAAAAAATTGGATTGTTGGTTCTATATTGGTTTTTAATATTGGGTAAATTGACAATCCATTAAGACGGTAGTAATTTACTACTTTTATCTATACATAAATATTAATTTCAATACCTTACTAGTTATTGTCTTTTCCCTTTAGCCTTCAATTCACACCTCACGGTGACTTTGAGTTCACAACTTTACATTATTCAAAACGTCAAAGCTTAAAATAAGAACCTTATTCGTCTTATTTCTCTTTGTATTAAACTTGTATAGTTCTTTTCATGTTAGTTATTATTGTTTCTATTTTATGAGCATTTGTAAAGTTACATTCTTGTCGTGTCGCATTAAATTTATTAGAGAAGTCATATATTTGTTTTATAAGCATTTTTCTTATTGGTTAAATCGAAAATCGAATTGTTAAGGACCAAAATCAATAATCCGATAAAAATATCTTATTGATTTGGTTATTTTGGCATATTTAAAAATAAAAAATCAAACCGATAATATATAAAACTGAACCGGACCGGACCGATCGAAGCACACCCCTAGCCAAAATGGTGAATTTTGAATCATTATTCACAGTAAATAAAGTGATCGAAAGTTCTGTAATGTTAGTCGTTCTAAATATTTTTCGTTTTGAATGCATTGTTGTCTTTTTTCCCTCTTTTGAATGAATCTTTTTTATAAAAAAATATTTTGTATGGTTAATAACCGAATAACCGAATCAAACCGAACCAAAACCGACAACAACCAAACCGACAAATATATATTATATTTGGTTTGATTTGATTTTGATAATTTAAAAACCGATTTAATTGATTTAATTTTAAATTTAACCACTAATCAACCTAAACCGACACATAAACACCCCACTTAAGTCTTAACACTTGTTGCCTCCGACAGCCAAGAAGGATTAAGAAGTCAGAAAAATAAGGCGCCCTTTGTTTTGCCGTTGTTTAGCTTTACTCTCTACAAGTTACTCTCTAGTCTTTACTTAGGGTTAGTATAATTAGAATAGTATTAAGCAAAAAAAAGAAGAAGTTAGAATAGTAAATTATTTATATATTAATAAATATAATAGAAAATTAAATAAGCTTTATAGAAAATTATGGCATAATATTAAATAAGGTTTTAGCCTTTAGGGTTTCTAATTAATTAATATATTATATATTCGTTTATATATTTTAGTTAAACAAAGTAGAATAACTCTTAACAAGTTAATATTTATTTAATAAAAAAAATTGAGTAAATTCACGCCATATTAATAAGTCATTAATTATAAAATATTAATTCATTCACCAATTATATATCGGATAATTCAATACAAATAAATTATTTTGTGATTTTTGAAACTTGAAACGTGACGATACAAAACTAAAAAAGCATCCGCACCATTTCTTTTATCCACGTGTCGATTGGCGGTGCAACTTCGTTTTTTTTTTCTGCCAAAAAATCAGTTTCAGAGGAAAGACAGAAGATTAGGTGGTGCGGAAATTCGGCCCTTTTTTCCCTTACCTTTTCCATTCAAAGAATATTTCTGATTTCACGCTTCGATTGTTTTCGTTTTCTCTCGCAAGTTTGATTTTGTTTTTATATCCATCTCCAATTCAAATTCAAATTCAAAGGTTCGTTTGTTCAGTTATGTAGTTGATAATGAAATCTTTTGGTAAGAGATTTGTTGACTCAATTGTTTGTTGATTTGCAGGAATTTATGACTCTTTATGAGCTAGATCCTGACGTAGTGAGGTGGAATCTTCACCTTATTGATGTTTGTGGTATAAACAATGGTGGTTCTCTCGGAACTGTTACTCAATATGACACAGATTTTTCTCAGCTTGGGTATGCAAGAGAAGGTTATGCTGAGCCTATGCATATTAACGTGGAGAATGATGAGGTAATTGCCCATGCTCTTCAGGAGGAACTATCACGGCTTTCACTGGACGAATCCGTAGGATCTTCACACACTGATGAAGAAGAACATCGAAAAGCATCAGTTCTTGCTCAGGATTGGGCTGCACCCTCAACGAGGTTTTCCAATCTCGGTAAGGAATAGGCAGAAGTTTTGTGTTTCTGGTTTGCATACATATACTGATATTGTTTTGGAATGTGCAGCAGTTGATGGCATTCAGGAAGACACAGATAGTACTGGATTTTGCCCTCTTACAGTTACATCATCCAATTGGGAGTCACCAGAGATAGAGGATGAATCTCTTCTTGATGGTGAAGTTGGGAAACGTTTGAATCAGTTGGATGCCATCCCTGTAAGTTTTACTTGTTTACTGATTATGGAGAGACTTCTTTGTAATTATAGTCTGAATTATTACATTGCTTGAATTATTTTCTGATGCCAATGATGTTCGACATAAATCAAAAGGGGCATGTTACTCATGTTTAGAAATTGAGGTTACTGCTTGCTTTTTGCGTTTGTGTTGAGTGTGGTGTGCTTCTGGTGTTGCAATCACGACTACTCATAGTGAGCCACTATCTTTTGATAGCCTCTGGCAAAGTAAATTAGGGTCCTTCCTTCTTGCTTTTTAGTAGTATCTGTTGGTAGAAAAGAGGAAGGGAGGGTTTTAGCTTTCTTACTTATTTAGTAGCATATGTTGGTGGCAAAAAAGAAGGCAGAAACAATTTAGTGAACAGGCTTATGGGGAGACTTTGAGTAGCGTCTGTTGGTGGATTAGTGGAAGGTGAGATTTCGGCTTTATAACCTTTTTATTGGGGTATGTTGTTGGCAATGAGGAAGGCAGAAACAATTTAGTGTACAGGCATATGGGGAGAGAGACAGTTAAACGTCAACTCACCTTAAGAGTAGCGTAATGCTCATGATTTCACTCACATCCACAGCTAGGAAATAAAATATCAGATAAGCATTAATGGCAGTTCCTTGTTCACTTAATTTGAAGCTAAGGGGTGGAAATTTAAGAAGCCAAGAGAGGGAAAGGGAGATTGCCATCACATCTTGTTTTGACCGAAGAAATTGCTAATTAGTTGAAAGTATTCCTTGTTGTCTAAAGAAGAAAAATATGCCTTTCTAAACAGTGGAAAAGGAGACATCTGTATATATGGTTTCAGTACATAGGTACTGTTTTGTGATATAATACAAAGTTACCTATTTCAAAATAAAAATAAAATATGCCTTTCAATGTTGTATTTGACATTTTATTTTGGAAGGAAGGACATGACATTGGCTTTTATGATTTCCGTAGGATAAGATCGACTCTTTTAGCTTCTTTGTTCCATTCTTGCCTCTTGAGATCTATGAGAATTGGGCGCTTGTTTCTTGACGCAGTAGAGGAAGGTTTTTTTTTCCGTACTTTGATTTTCCAATTTCTTTTATTCAAAACACAAAAAACCTAGATGCCCCTTTAAGTTGTCCACAACAACTAGATAAACACTTTAACTCTACAAAAGGCTAAATAGACACCTCTACATGGCACAGATGCGTCTCAAGAACACCTCATGAAGGATACATGTGTTAATTTGTCTGTATGACATGCTAACCGTAATTCTAATACATGTGTGAGGTCTAGTGAACTCGTGCCTTCACGAGACACACCTGTGCCAAGTAGAGGTGTCTATCTGGACTTTGATGAAGTTTAAGTGTCAATTTGGTCGTTGTGCAGTGTGCACAACTTAAAGGGGCCATCTATGTACTTTGCCTATATGAAGCTGTTTTACTTTATGCAAAAGAGAAATGGTAGACTATATTAGAAATATTAACAGGTCAGATGTGATTGGGCCAATCTTGACTTACCTTTGGGTAACTAATCTTTTCAAATGGAATACTAGAAATCTTATCACTTCAACTCCTTATGCTTAGAATCCCTTTAGTTACCCGTGTGCTTGAGAAATGCTTAAAAGATTTTCCCCTATCTGGTCACCTGATTATGAGCTATAGTGGTCTTTTTTTCCACTTTTCTTTATTTAAATTTTACCGCATAAATTTACAGCAGCCAAATGCAAATGAATGGTTCATGCAGCTACTAGGCGTTGACGTTTGGCCCTTTCAATAGTTTGTGATATTATGGCATCCATCTTCATTCTTTTCTGCTGTTTGTGTTGTATGATTCTTGAACTACCATTTTCCCCCATTCCTGTTTTTGTTTTTATGCCATCATTTAGAACAACTGGAATTACTTGTAACTCAGTTCCCTGGTTTCTACATTCTACAGCATGTTCCCAAAATTAATGGAGATATACCCTCAGTAGATGAAGCCAAATCAGATCATCAAAGGCTGATGGATAGGTAACTTTAACTTCTCTCCACTGGTAGCTTTTTGCTAGCAAAAGAACTTTAAACTCGTCAGATAAGTTATGTTACTTTTCCTGTCTGGTATTCTTTATCTTTGTCTTCTCCAAGCTAGCGATGGACTTGCATATGAGACGGTCGACATTGCATGTTAACAAGTTTTGCCTAACTGAGAAGTATCAGAAAAATTAAAGCCATCATAATTCGAAGTTTCAAATGCATATGGACTTCATAATAGAAATGCATTTAACTCTCCTCAAGCCAGTGTTTTGTGTCGCATCCTAAAAGGAAGGAATGTGAATGCTACCTGAAGCCGTAACTCGCCCCAAACGAACCACATAAACCTGTCTGCCCATTTCATTAACCTTCATTCACATATATCATCACTTGAACATCTGAAGCTTCAATCATAAAACGTTTGGCTTATAATAACCTCAGCAATACTAAAAACATATGTTGGGTTCATATTGAAAAACATGAGTGTGGAATAACTAATAACATCATCATAACACGAGATAAGAAATATAAATTGCATGTACATAACTACACCTCTTACTGTGTCACTGGAACCCTTAAAAACGTACGTGAGGATGATGGCAAAGACGAGTGCTGGCTCATTCAGAATAAATGTCTAAACCTGCACCCACCTGTAAAAGACATGGAGCTCACCAAAAGTGGATCAACGAGAAGAGAAGATTCTTACTCGTGTCATTATCTCCAGTTGCAGTAGTATTTGGAATACAATAAGTTTCACCATGAAGGGTTTATGAACAATTTCCTAGAAGTTGTACCGGTAAGTATCATTGACCCTACCCTATAAGGTTTGAGTGAAGTCTCTGACCAAGTTCATCAGACTCTTCACTCTAGCTGCCGCACTTGTGTCGACACGACATGTGTGTGAGTGTGGGATCCATACCCGATTTTGGGTACTTTGACCAAAATTGATGGAGAAATTCTGGGAATCTTTAAATTGAGATCATGAAGGATCCAAGCTCAGATCCGCACCCGTATCGGACACCCACACCCCAGTCCAAGTAACTTAGGTCTTTGAAACATGGGTTACATGCAACACTAGCAAATTGTTTTAAAGCGTTTCAAAAATCCACGTAAGGAAGACAATAGGCATTAGAAGCATAAAACATGAAAAATGTACTTAGAAACATTTGACATCATTGAACGTAGTATTTCTTTATTTGGGAATTCCTATAGACCCCTGACATCAATATTAATGCGCCATTGTATGTCATGACGGATGACCAACACTTAGTCGACAAGGTGGTATCACCATATATGCCATATGGATCAACACTCAATGAGCAAGCACCAAAGCCTCCTTTTTAGTAGGATGGCATGAGTAGTTGCCAAAGTGGTTCTAACTACTATCCTAAACTGACATTTAGCTTCTAGATAAACGTTTTGGCCTTTTGAAACGAATACCCGCTCAGCTTCTAAGATTCTCCAAAAAACATTTAATATAATCATTTGACTATTTTTAGGTCTACTAGTTTTACGGCACATGCGTTGCACATGTGTATCGTATATGCAATATATGATGTTGTAAAACAGAATTAATATTACTAAATTAAAGCTTTTTAGTAAATAATTATAATTGAACATACAAAGGACAAGTGTTTTTAAATTATTAATACATATTGTCATAGAGTTGTATTTTGAGTTCAAAATGATCAGATGTCATTAAAACATTTCAAAATACATTCAAAGTTTAAATATGGGAGAAAGTGACATTTCTTTAATAATATTATTTCTTACTTCACTCAATTTTGTAAACAAATCTAACCAACAAAATAGAAAAAAAATATCACCAATAGCCTTTCCGCTTGAGGTTATGACCATAAATGATGTACATCATTTAAGTAGAAATTTTGTCTTAAATATTCATACTTGAAATTTAGTATGTGCATGACACTAATAAGGATTACCATAAGTATTTCAATATTTTATCTTTATATGCAACATATCTTTTACAAAATATTATTACTCAATTAATATTTGAGTAAGACTATCATAGAGAGGTAATTTTACCAAAAAAGTGTACTTGGTTGTTATCATGAATGATGGTTATATATACTTCAGTAGAATAGTTTAATTTTAATATATGAATAACATCACCTATGGTGAAAAATATTTCATTTCATTAAGCTTCTACCTTATCTTTGTGAAATTGTAGTCTTCTCCTTTTTTCTGCCACATACATATCATATAGTTATTGTCTAATGAAAATATCTAGTATCTTATAGAAGTTGTATCATGATATAAAATATTTAAATTTTTCAATAATAAAAATTAATAGATGAATAAAATTTAAAGTATTATTTATAGAATCATTAATTTCATTTAAGATCATTTTATGATCAATCACTATTTTCTTATCTATTTTTATATAGCTAGTAAGATGATATAAAGAAAAATTATATGGAACAATACATAGCCAATGATGAAAGAAGACGAAAATATATGTTCATGCTAAATTCACTCTAGTGTTCCATTTGATTTAAAACTCTTGATACCCATTGTTTTAGCAAAATTAGGAAGAAACTCCTTCGTTTGAGGGAAAAGAATAAAAAGATTAAAAAACAAAGAAGAAATATCTTACCCAAATCATATGCCTTTTTTCATATCTGTTTAATATTATTGTCTCTCCCACAACTTTTCGTTACTGTTAACTCATGAAAATGGTAAGAAAAAATATGAGTGTGAATTGATGAATGATTTGCTACAATTTTTTCACCAGCTCTTTCTTATGAGGTACCTCGAATTTTGTTGAATTTCGAACTTAATCAATTTTTGCAAATAACAATTGAGATTTTTTAAGAAAAAGAAGAAGAGTAGAGAACTTAAAGAAATTGTAGTTTAAAAGTGTAAGGAAACCCCTCTATTTATGACTACCAAATAGTAGTATGAATATGTGTTAATTGTGCCTTATCGGAAAAGTCACAACCTTTCGAAAAAGTCACTGCTTATCGGAAAAGGCACAACTCATCAGAAAAGGCACAACTCTTTAGAAAAGTCACAACCCTTAGAAAAAATCACAACCCTTCGGAAAAGTCACAACTCATTGAAAAAGTCACAACCCGTCAAAAAGTCACAACCCTTTGGAAAAGTCACAACTCATTGAAAAAGTCACAATCTGAAAAGGTATCTACTTTCAATATAATAAAATTAATAAATTAAGTATTTTTAATTGGGGGTATTATAGTAATTCAACATTCAAGTTTGGGAGTTCATGCTTTTAAAGTAGTATAGATAGAAGATAGATAGATAGATAGATATAGATTGAACATTTGGAGTTTGACATAATTAGCCTATGGAGCATTTAAGACATCATTCATAAGGTAAGAATCATTTTTGATAAGGTAAAATTTTATTGATAAAGTACCAAAAAGGTGCAATAGAGTATAACACTCGGACAGAAACCAAATAAATAAACTGCTATATTCTTCTTCCTAATAAATCCAGAAAATTCATATACTGTTTCAGATTCACTAGCAGACTGCTTTTACGCACCAATTATGTAAATTATGTAGACATCTATTTCTGTTCTAGAGATATGCTACTTTGCTCCTTTTCCCTGAAAGGATATGGCACCTGGGCCTAATTCAACCCTAAGAGCTAGGTCATGAGGGGAGGATGCCCAAGTCTATATAAGCAGACCACCAATCCATTCCCCAACCAATGTGGGATTTTTACCCTAGAACACCCTCCCCCCTCATGCCCAGGCCCAACTGGAGCATGAACCGGGAGTGCAAACAGGATAGACCTGGCTCTGATTCCATGTAAAGATATGAAACCTGGTCTAACTCAACTCCAAAAGCTAGCTTATGAGGGGAGGATTGCCCAAGTCCATATAAGCAGACCACCCCATCCATTCCCCAACCAATGTGGGACTTTTATCCAGTCTAACACCCCCTGAAAGCATGCCCTGTTTTCTCCAGTTAAATAGTCCAAAAGATGCAGTGTGGAATAGTTTTCTATATCTGTTTTATCTTTTTAGGTATCATCTGATATTGCCCGCCATGCATTAAACCTTAACATTCTTAGGCATCTTATTCTCAAAAAAAAAAACATTCTTAGGCATCACCTGTGAAACACCACAGATGTTCAGAAATAAATCCCAACACTTTCTTGAATATCTAGAATGAAGAAGCAGGTGATCAATTGTTTCCTGATCTTCCTCACACAAGTAGCATCTGTTACGTAAATCATAACCTCTTTTCTGTAAATTATTTCGAGTTCACAAGCTTCCCTGGTTGCAATCCATCCAAGGCATGCTACTCTAAAATGAGCTTTTGTGTTCCAAATCAACAGATCGTAGCATATTACTCAGTGAGTATCTTTTATCTTTGCTAGCTATCCAGATCAGAGAATCCCTCTTACTTTGATCAATGTTAACTGATTATAGTTGCTGAAGTAAATGGCAAAACTCCTCTACCTTCCAATAAATCAAGTTTCTTCTAAATTCAAGTTTGCAGTCTGAATCTGAATGCAAACCCCCACCTTATTAATTGAGCAGTTAAATAGATTAGGAAGTTTAGTCTTCAGGCACTCTTCCCCGACCCATATATCTGTCCAGAATCTGATTAATTCTCCATTTCCCACCGCCTGATCAGTGTATTGAATAAATTCTTCCCACAAACCATATACGCCCTTTGAGACTCTCCCGTTTACATTCCTCTGAATAAGAGATATTTTCCAACCATCATTCTTGCCATAAATAGCGTTATCGTTGCATTCGGCATGTTCTCTCTATTTTCCTCTGTTCTGCTCCACTTGTGTTAAGGCTCACGATGAAAGCTCCTTTCCCTCCTCCACACTATGGAGGGGATTACAGTCCCTCCCCAATTTAGCCAACCCCCATGCCAGGCACCCCGCTCGCTACGTGTGCGACAACCTGAGGGTGTCTGTGACTAAGTTTTGGTCCTTCTTCCCATTTTTCCCACTTCTTTCCTTAACTTGTCTCTTTCGATCACTTCCACCTTGTACCATAAATATGTCGATGTGTACTGAGGATTCCACAACCCTCGTGTGGGTGTGGGCACACCTCGAGGTCGCTCAAAACACTCCATACCATTAAATAGCCTGCATTAAATGTTTGATTTTATGGGACCTTACATTTTTTATGTCAACTGTTTCCTTGTTTAATATTTCCTCCAGAACTTCATTTCGAAGCATTTTTTCATAAACGTTGCAAAAATAGCCATGTTATTCCGTATGAAAATTATTTCATTCAGTGGATTTTATTAAATGTGGAAAACCATGTGTTGTACTTCTGTCTACGCTGCTGAACACAATTGTAACCAAATAATATCTGGAGGGATTATAGAAATAATTTCTTCTTATTTGTACCTTCTGCATAATGATGGATGGATGTTTAAGAGAAGCACTTTTTCTCTAGGTTGGAAGTATATGATCTAGTTGAGTTAAAAGTTTCTGGAGATGGCAATTGTCAGGTCAGTTTATTTTCATTTTTTTCTAATAACTTCTTGCTGATTAATAGGAATATTGCAATAGATTTACTCCTTTTTTTGGGACTAAAATCACTATACGTTAATTGTTTAGGGGTCGTTTGGTTTGTAAAGAAGTTACACCGGGATTATAACACAGGAGTATTTAGTGGATATACTTTCTTTTTGGAAGATGTTTGGTTCATTGGTTAAAAATGGGATATATGACATATAAACATGGTTTGGTTTTGTAGATAAAGATGGATAAACTTTTATTATTAGTTTTAACTTTGACTTTCTGGAAGGACTTACGGAGAAATTTTTTGGAGAAGGGTACTTTTTTCATTTGGTTGTTTTATTTCGGGATTAGCTATCTTGGGATTTTATCCCAAATTTGCGTATACTGGATACAAAGATGCAACCAAACACTAAATTAAATACTCCCACATTCTATCCCATGATTATTTCTCTTTATCCCGTGTGAATGTGAACCAAACGAACCCTTAGAGAATAAAATAGCTTTTTTCAAATCTCTGTAAAATGCATCTCTTTCTCTTTTCTTTTCTTCAACTTTTTCCATGGCTCTCTGTCGTGGGCTGAAAATATTAACGTCCATTATGTATTATTCTGCTGAGTTCCGCATCCAATGGAATCCAAGGAAATTTGACCGGTTGCTTTCATGTATGATACTTCAAGAGTGTCCTTTTCTCTGCCCTTTGCTCTCGATCTATCCCCTTCCGTTTTCTGCCCTTATTCCTATCTCTTTTGATGCTGCGAATCACATGTTCCAATCTATATGATAATTTTTATTTAGTAAATTACCAGATGGTTTTGTGTCTGTTAATTTTTTTTGGGGGTAGGGGGGTGGGGGTGAGCTTAGATTTTCACTTTTGGTTAGGAAGAAAATGTTGAAAGATCTATCTTTTGGAGTGTCAGCCCTGAGAGGATATTGCAGAGGATGGAGGAGGTAAAACTTTTCTACTTCCATTTCAGCTGTATCAGAGATAGCCATTCACAACTGTGTTTTCTCAAATCTTATCTTTTACACTATTACACATGATATATGAGGTAATATTTGTTAACTTATGTAATGCTTTATGAAATATTTGCAGTTCCGCTCACTGTCGGACCAAATATATCGCAGTACTGAGCATCACAAATTTGTGAGGGAACAAGTTGTTAAACAGGTATTTCTCAAACATTTTTGTTAGTTGCAACATCATTTCAATACTATGGTTGCATGTGAGCCGTAAAAAAGAAAAAAACAATAGTTGCATCTCAGCACAAGGGTTGCATCCAGCTTCCAAAAAAACAGAACTGGGGAAGTGTAACAAAGAGGTGCCAATCAAGCCAAAATTTACATATGCATACCTATTCTAATACAAAGTTAAATTAAATCATGGTTGTGCATTGTGATCATGTCATTCAATTTACTTCTTTGTAGCTATTGGTTACTTCTAATTATTGTTTTTATCAGCTCAAGTCCCATAGGGAGTTGTATGAGGGTTATGTTCCAATGGTCTATGATGAATACTTGAAGAAAATGAGCAAGTAATGCCTGAAGCTCCTTTCAGTTTGTCTTTCTTATTTTATGATTATACTCTTATAGGACTGGTCCTTCTAACAGGGCTGGCGAATGGGGTGATCATGTAACTTTGCAGGCTGCTGCAGATTCAGTATTGTTCTCTTCCCTATCCTGTGTTCTGGTTTTTGTGTTTCCACAATAATTTGTTGAATTGATTTATTTGGAAATTATTCTAGCTTATATGGATGAAACTGATAGTTACTTGTAAGTAGATTGAGTGGAACATCAAATTTGGGCTACGGTGGTAGTTTTCAGGTCTGTTGAAATTGATTGGTTATATGATGGGGCATTAGAAGTGAACTATTTACAAGCTAGTCTTCAGTGCTATTCTAGATTAAACAGGGGTCTGGTGCATGCTTAGTCAGGTAACCCCTGTTTGGATAAGCCGGCTTTAGTTTTTGTTAGAGGATGGATCTTCTTAAGAGAAGGAAGCTCTTAATGACATATTTGGATAGATTCCATTCTTGGTGAGGTCTTCAGTGCTATTGTAAGTTGTACAATATGGCAGTTCTCTTCAAAACAATGAACAATGAGCAGTAGGCATTAAAAGTTCTTATCATTTTTAGACAATCTGTTTATTAGATCAAGTGAAGTGACTTTGTATTTAATAAGTCGACTCTGCCAGTAATTGCTCTTGATCCCAGTAGCTTTGATGGCTTATATATGTCTCTGAATGAGACTTTATGAAATTTTGGCATAAAGCCTCTCTCAAAATATCATAACAGGAAGAGCTTATGGGTTGACAAAAATATGAGCTCTTCGGATTTCTTAAGTAAAACCCTTTGATTTTACACAATTGCCAATGGCTTCTTGATTTTTCAGAGAGAGAGATTGCCTTGGGCTTGAGTTACTTTGGGTTCCAAGTCATTGTCCCAATTCTTGTTAATGGATTTAGGTCTTCTTGATGTAAATTCTATCTCTGACCTCTTCTGTGTATGAACTGTAGTTTCTTGACTAAGAATTTCTGAATTCTGTTTTTGTGACCTTGTTATTCTAGGCTCTAGCTAGGAAAAATAAAACTCATAAAGATCTGAAATTCGATATATCATAGGCAAACAAATCATTATAAATTCAAAAGAAATGAGAAATGTATCCTGATAAGATCTGTTATTAGGAATTTCAGGGGAAGCATGTTGAGGAATCTGAAAATAGATTTGCTTATGACTTATCATTCCTTTGCTTTGTCGCTTTTGGTTCATTTCTGAGTGGAGCATAATACCTACTACCATTTATAGAAGACAAACATAAGCCTGTGTTCTGTATCACGAAACATTCTTTGCTGACTTTCATCAACCAGAAGAAATTTGGGTCGATTTTTTTTTTTCTGCAAACAAGTGCAAGGAGAATATAATTAAGGCCGCTTCCTAATGATTGCTGGATGAAATTTAGTTATTCACACTGTGGCCCTTCAGTCGTCACCCATGCAACAAATGCCGAAACTGATGGTGATAACATGTTATTTTTCCCCCAAAGCCTAGCTCGAGTGGCAAAAGGTGGAGGATTTGTGGCTTAGGTCACAGGTTCAATCCCCACACCATGCAAAGCGAAGCCCGGTATTTAAGTGGAGAAGGGTAGAGGGGCAGGCCCATTATCCACCAAGTTTAGAAGGCTGTGATTGGTCCAAAGGGCGGGTCACAAACAGATTCTCGGTTATCAAAAAAAAAAAACAAGTTATTTTACCAAACTAGAAATCAGTTGCAAGAAGAACAACCCTCTAAAGCAGGAACTCTTTATCTGTAGATTTTAATACAGGGTTTCAAAAGGCTAAAGACTTGCTTACTTTAGAATCAATATGTTGTTCTGTAATGATTCTAAAATGTAAATCATCTTATACCTTATTTTCAAATTTTGGTGCTTCTAGCCTCTTTGTGTAAAAGATATACTTACCTGATTAAGTGTGTGACTATCTCATAGCTGTTATAGGGAGCACACTTTTATTTACTTAGTTATATTCATCTAAAAGGTTAAGTTGTTAGTGATAGTACACTTTTATTCACTTAATTATACTCTCAACATGCTCCCCCCCGTGCAGGCCATCCTTTTTCATGATCAAGCTTGTGGAAATTCTTTTTAGGCTTAATACATACATTCTCCTGAGGTTGTCCCCATATTTCTGTTACACACCCCTTGACCACGTGAATTACCCTAGACGCCCAAATTCGTTTAAAGTGTAGCTTTTACACCACTTTTGTGTTTAACCACTTCAGAAAACAGGGTGTATTTTCATGCACTAACAATGGTGTGATGCGTGTCATTAAATTTATAAAAATAAAACACTTACAATTACAATCATACCCCTTAGCCATTCTCCCTTCGTCTCTTTTTCTTCGGTAATGCAACTCCACTGCCGCAAACCACCAGAAAACCCAGAACCATCACCTTCCTATTCAAAACCAAAACATAGGAACTTAAAATCAATTTTAGTCCCAATTCCAGATTTAACTTTAATCCAAAAAAGTAGGACTAGAACTGTCAAATTCCATCATCCTCCTCACTTGCAACTGCATTACAAACCCAGAATTTTTCCAGCAGAGAGAAAGAGAGACCTGCATAGAAATTTAAATTTGCATATGTTGGGAACTTCCTTCCTACTAGCTATTTACTGCATATGGGTAAAAATGGTGATATCAAATCCCTCATATGAGATAGAAGAACCATTCTCTGGATCTTGGCCAGAATTTTCTCCATTGACCATTTCTGCCTCCTGTTTCTTCACACTCTTGAGTCCTTTTTAGAATTGGCAAATAGGAGATGAATTATGCATCAGAATTATGGTGATATATTATGGTAGCTTTCTGGTGTGAAAACACTGATGGAGATAATTTTAAGGTGGAAACTTGTGATTTTTGGCTAGTAGTAATGGAAATGGTTAAGAGGTGGCGGCGCTGGTGTAGAAAGAAGGTGAAAAAACTATCAATTTTTCCTTTAAAAAATCGAATATCATTGCAAAAAAAGTAATCTTTTTTTAGCATTCACTTGTCAGTTCTGTGTGTCAACACAAGTGTGACACATAGGTGGTAAGGTGTGTAATAGATACTCGTTTGAAATGTTTGGGTGTGGAAACCCAAAGGGTAGCAGCGGCGGGTTTCCCTTATCATCAAAAAAAAAAAATGTTTAGGTGTCGAAGATGATTCTCGTGGTCAACAATTATGCAACAGGGATTTGGGGACTACCTCAGGGAGCAATCTATGTATTAAGCCTTCATTTTATAATGCTAGTGGTGAGGCTCTAACCAATCATCTCAGTCTGTTTTGATACCATGTGACCTTATCTAAAAGCTTAAGCGGTTGGAGAGCACACTTTTATTTACTTAATTATATTCTCTATGTTATCTTTCTTCCAGATTTTTTGATTCACAAGCAATTCTTTTAAATTCATTTTGCATCTTGAAAGTAATGGTTATCATTTCTATTTTACTTAAAATAAATACTTAATGAAGAAACGCACTATGACTCTAAGAGAACCATACAAAAGTTAGAAAACAAATGTTTGCTATTATAATTTATAGGGACTCATTGTTCGCTTTGTTCTGGAGAACGATGCATGACATGGATGTGTTCTGTTATGCTCTCCCAAACCCCAATTTTTTGCTTGAAGCAGTTGATTAGGGCTGTTGCCGCTTTTTAGGATTTGATCCGCATAGATTGATTCTGAATTTTCTTCCTGAGGAATCTCAGTCCTTGGTGAATGGTTTGGAGTTCCCCAGTTGGTATCCTAAAAAAAGGAAGAGACCTTTGGTTGATTCCTTTCAGTCATTTCTCCTTCTCTTTTCCTAACCCGGAAGATCCTAATTTCTCTCTTTTATTGTCTATTATCATATGAATACAATGATGATCTACTATTTTCTCAATTCAAGTGTGTATTTTAAATTTTCAAATGGTGACTGACGTTTATTTCGATGTTATTACAGTATGGTGTTAAGATGTTTGTCATTACATCATTTAAAGACACCTGCTACATTGAGATTCTTCCACAAAGTCTGAAGTCAAACAGAAGTAAGTTTTCATTTTATTTTCATCAATGAGTATTGTCTCTGTTGTACATTTTTTTTACACCAAGGGAAAAGGCTCAAATATTCCATCGAACTATTAGAAATGACTCATCATCCGTAAAAAAATTGGCTCATTTATTTATGCCATTGCCGTTACAAAACATGCTCATTTATGCCATTAGTTTTAATAGTGGTTTTGTAAAACAAGCTTTGCCATGTGGCCTCTTGTTAGACGTCCACGTCACCAAATCGGACTCGTTAAAAAAATAACCCACCGACACTCTACTCATTTTCCTAACCCAACCCAGGGTGATACCATAGGCCCGCATCATCATCGATAAAGGAAACAAGTGCATCGAGAGCCTCACCTAGCAACTGGTACGATATACAAATCTGTGCGTTGCAATTGCAGAGAAAACTCACCTTTGCAGCCACGTCAGAAAACTTGACGTTCCGATCAACGGGGAGGATTTTGGTGTCTCTGCAGACATAGGAGAGTTGATGGTCGTGAGGACAAAGCTGATTTTTTTCTCCATAGCTACACATAAGCTTAACCTTTTGATTATCCATTGAGGCTGCCAAAATTCAAGCGAAAATGAGTGGGTAGTTTATCTTAGATCCTTTTAAGTATAGTAAATTGTTAATAATACAACATAATCATACTGAATGACTTACCAGATCGATTTAATATATGAAATGGATCATATGTCATGGATGTTTTGTCCATCTCCTTTCTTTTTTCGTGGGAGGGACGAATCAATATCATCAGTGTTACTAATTTATTACATTATTAGTAGCACCTCCTTCTCTTTCTTTTCATCCTCTGTATGAAAGACTGAATGATTTGCCGCCTTAATTTATGCAGTCATTACTTTGAGCTTTTGGGCTGAAGTGCACTACAATTCAATCTATCCACAAGGAGGTAAATGACCATTTTTTCTTCCTTCTTTTTTCTAGTTGTGGTAGAGAATAGTTATGCCCCTGTAAAAGCCATGCTATTTTATTGAACAGATATTGGTATTACATTTATTTTTGTTTCAACATATCTTTTGCCTACTAGAGAAGTTTCTTCTAATTAGTGTCTGATGGAAATTTACAACTTCCTGAAAGCTCCCTTAATCTTGAACTCCCCCTTCAAATCTCTTCCACATTTGCCAAGGTTTTGAAATAGAAAAAGTAGTACTGCTATTCCACATTCGTCAAGGTGTTGGTTTATCTTTTGTTTGCTAATCAATGGTCATGAATGTATTCTAACCTGATACTTCATCTCATGGAAGTCCATAAAGACAACTAGCTCAAAATTCAGTAACCATTGAGGTTGAACTGGTATACTCCCAGGTTATTTAGCTGACTAGCTGTTGCAGTAGCGGTAGGGAAATAAATTGCAGTATTGGTTACTCATTGCCAATTTATTACAGAGTATCCTGCTGGAGAAATAAGAACAAGAAAAAAATGGTGGCAGCTAGGTTGAGACACCTGCACAGCCAGCTTCTTTAGGAACCAGCGCACACCTAATTATCACGAGAATTAGGGTCTCTCAGACCGTCTCTGTGACAACATTTCTAACTCCGGATTGTATATATTTTATTCGTTTTCTCTGAGGTAGACTACAGTTTTGCCAATTTTACGGCTTTCATTCTTTGTGTATATATCATTTCATTTAGTTAGCTCTTCCATTATTAATTTATTTATACACAATGCTGTTTTTGTGTTTAGTTTATTTTCCTTTCCATTTCAAAGTAAATTAAATTTGATGTTGTCCAAGGTTGTCTTCATCCTGCCTCAAGGAAAAAGTTTAGGAGGGTTGGAACCTAAGTAACGCGAAAAAAGAACCAAATAGACCGAAGTAATGGACAAAATCAATATTTAAACATCATACACACAACTAGTGCAAATTTATGGCATACATATTTTTCTATCTACGATCATCGTTAAGGGCTCGAAGAATTCAATGTAATAAATGGGGCATCATCAAGGGCCTTATATAATGCAACAAATGTGCATCATCAAGGGACCGCAATTATAATGCAATAAGAGAGCATCGTCAAGGGCTCGTACATACTACCTCAAATGGTTATCATCAAGGTCCCGCCTATCATAACATTTATCTTTTTATTGATCAAAGTAACTTATCTACATATTTTGTAAAGAGACAACTCGAGACACTTGTCACTTAGACTCAAGCACAATGAAGACTCGATTCGATATTAGATTTCGTGTAACCTTTTTAGCTTATGTTAAATCTTATTCCAAATTAGACTAAATCTTTGGTTCAATAACTCTTTTAAGTACTGTCAAGAATCAACTGCGAGTAAGAACTCGATACTACTCCATTAATTGTGTCTTTGAGAATTAAATGTAAATAGAAATTCTATTCATCTCTTATAAGAACTTTTTCTATTTTTTTAGCTCTCAACACCAATTTTAGTGAAATTAACTCTTAATTTAACTTTAAAGATCTGTACATAGCCATTTAAATATCAACAAGATGTTTAGAATAAAGATATAATCTAACTCATGGATTCTCAAGAATAGAGTATATGCAATAACACACCTCTTAAGCTCTCTCTCGGTACATATCGTTAAGAAAAAAGATTCACGCCGAATGAAAATTTACATGGCCATTACATATCTTTATGTCAGTTAACTTGGAGACATGAAAAACCTAATCCGTTACAACACCTTAATCTACAATAAATAATGATATAGCTCACGTTAAGCTAAAGGACAACTTGTACACAATTAATCGAGTGACAAGCGCAGTTGTTAACTAATAATTCAACACTTCACTAAAGTTATGCTTCTCTTCCAACTAAATATCAACAATAATCATAATTATATAGATCGTTCTCCAAAATTCCAGCCACGACAATATCAAGAAAATGCCTTGTTAAATTAGGTTGTAGGCCTAACTCACACCCCAAAACCTAAGCTCTAAGGGAGGAGGATTGTCCAAGCCTTATGAGGAATCCACCCATCTCATTAACCACCAATGTGAGACTTTTTGCTTTAACACCCACCTCACACCCAGTGCTTAGCATCTGGTGTGTGGGCAATTTTTTTTTGGACCCCAACATTGGGTGAGATGGGCCCTGCTCTGATACCATGTGAAATTATGTCTTAGGCCTAACTCACACCCCAAAACCAAAAGTTAGCTCAAAGGGAGGAGGATTCCCCAAGCCTTATAAGGAGTCCACCCATCTCATTAACCACCAATGTGAGACTTTTTACTTAAACAGATCGTAAACTGTAGAAACTCAATCAGAGCAGAGAGGAGAGTTGAGAGATATGAACAACTTGTCTTTTTTTATTGATTGGAGAAGTAATGTAGTTACAAGATGAGTAGCTATTTATAGTACTACTCCTTCATACTTTTACCAGACTACTAACTCACTCTTCCTAACTACAAGCTGGCACAGATAGTTACAATTAACTTCTTCTTTAAATGACTAATATGTCCTTACTATGTCTAACTAACATCAACAACCTTTATCACCTTCTCTATATCACAACACTCCCCTTCAAGCTAGGTGGTGCAAAAATGTCTAGCACTCCAAACCTGGATAGTAGGTGTTCATATTGTTGCCTAGATAATCCTTTTGTAATACATCAGTTGGTTGTTCTGTTGTAGGAAGATAATTCACCTTGATTAGTCCTTGTTGTACAATCAATCTCAATGTGTTTTTTCTCTCATGATATACTTGATTTGCAGCAATCTGTATGGCTGCCTTACTATCACTCTGAATTTGTACTAGTAATTGAACTTCAGCTCCTACTTTTAGTAATCCAAGCAACCACACTAACTCCGACATCGTGGAAGCAAGACTCATACTCAGTTTTAGTTGAGCTTTTTGACACTTTTGTTTGTTTCTTGCCTTCCATGATACTAATGACTACCCAACTTTCACCATGTATCCTGTCACAAACTTCCCGGTTAGCAGGCAAGAAGCCCAACAAATAACAAACCTTGTCCAGGTTGGCTCTTTAAATATCTAACTACCCTGCATCAAGATGGGACTTCTTAGGTTGTTGTAGGAATTAACTGAGAGTTTGTGTGCTGAAAGTTATATCAGGTCTTGTCATATTTAGATATAACGATTTCCCTATCAATTTTCGATACATTCTTTGATCTATCGGTGGATCCTCTGACTCTTCCTGATATTGATTCACATGTTCATCATATAAATTTGATGTTAGTTTAATATTGATGTCAATAGGAGTTCCTGCAGGTTTGGTTGTTGTCATGCCAACTTCAGATATAAGCTCAAGAGCATACTTTCTGTGGTGCATATACCAACTGATGATCTAGTGAATTCAATGCCTAGGAAGTACTTTAACTCACATAGATCCTTCATCCTAAAGGCTTGTTGCAGTGCCTTTTTTGTTTCTTCTATCAACTTGAGGTTGCTACCAGTAATCAGTAATTCATCCACATACACAAGAACTATAATGGCCCCTTCTTTTATTTTGTTGATGAACAAAGAATAGTCATGTTGGCTTTGCTTAAACCTGAGTCTAATAAGAGCTTCAGTCAGTTTATGGTTCTATTGCATTGGGGCTTGCTTGAGACCATATAGAAATTTTGTCAGTTTACACACCTTCTCCCCTTGATTGAAAAAACCCCTGAGGTAGGTGCATATATATCTCATCTTCTAGATCACCCTGCAGAGAAGCATTACACATATCCATCTGATGGATATGCCAATGCCTAGATGTTGCAAGGGAGACTATGGTCCTGACTGTAACCATCTTAACTACAAGTGAAAAAGTCTCTTTGTAATCTATTGCCTCTTGCTGACTACACCCCTTAGCAACCAATCTTGCTTTGAACCTCTCAACTTCACCTGTGGATTTATACTTCACCTTGTAGATCCACCTACAACTTGTAGGTCTTTTGCCTTGTCGCAGGTCAGCGACCTCCCAAGTGTTATTACTCTCTAGAGCATGAATTTTTGCCTTCATAGCATCTACCCACCTTATATCTTTAACAACTTCAGAAGTCAGGTTCCTTAACTATAGAGGTGGAAACAATGTAAGATTGGTATGCAGGAGAAAAATGATCATAGCTTATGGAGTTGCACATAGGATATGGAACGTTCCTATTCATGGCAAGAGATACAAAATCCTTCATCCAAGTGGGAGTATGTTTATGTCTAGTGGACCTCCTACAACTAGAGATAGGAGCAAAATTTAGAGGAGCATGGTCTGATAGTATCACAGGGTGAACATGTACTCCATCGCCAGCGGATAATGCAGGATCATCCTGCTGATCCACAACAGTCTGAGAATGATCATCTGAACCAGCTACATGAGAATGAGGAAATGAAATAGGATCCAAACTATGAGGTATGACATCTGATATATGTAATGTATCTAAGAATACATTTTCTGAAACAGGATTTATCCCTTTGGCAAAATGAAAGAAATCTTCTCTGAAGGCTAATCCGTACTAGTAAAAAAGGACCTATTACCCAGGTAAAGTAGGATGTAACCTTTCTGAACCTCTGAATATCCCATGTGAACTGCAGGCCTGGACCTTGGCCTAAGTTTATCATGATCAGTCAATTGTTTAGCAAAGCACAAGCATCCTAGAGTTTTGAGATGAGTTAAAAGAGATTTACTACCATACAACCTTTCATAAGGTGTAGCATAATTCAACACACTAGTAGGCAGCCTGTTAATAAGATAACAACCCCTTCCGATACTATGTTTGACAACTTTATTTCCCCATTGGCCTTAGATGAGGCAAATGGGTTTTTTTGCAAAAGCTCTCGTTTCGTTCGAACGTAGCCCGCATGAGTCAAGGGGCAACTTCCAGAGATAATAAGTTAAGTAGCAGCTAACACACATTGTCCCCAATACCTCAAAGGTATGCTGGCCTGGCCTGAAATCTGAGAGCTCTTGTCACCTCAAGTAAATGCCTGTGTTTTCTCTCGGAAACACCATATTGCTAAGGGGTATAAGGACATGTTTTCTGGAGAATGCCCATCTCCTTGAACATAGCATCACCTACTGAGTTCAAAAAATCAGTACCATTATCAAATATCAATATTTTGACTGATCTACCAAATTGAGTTTTAACAAACAAAATAAATTCCTTAAAAGAAACACACACACATCAGACTTATGTTTAAGCAAAATTAACCAAGTCATCCTGGAGAAGTCATAAAAAATAGTGAGAAAATACTTGTTACCATCAATAGTAGGGGTATTATAAGGACCCCACAGATCCAGATGTATCATATCAAAACAAGTTATAGTCTTAATATTGCAAACAGGAAAAACTAATCTTGTTTGCTTAGCAAGAGAACACACTGGACATTTAGTCAATGTACATAAGCTTCCTTTATTCATAGCAAACATCCTTGCAAGGACTGATGAAGACACATGCCCCAACCTTCAATGCCACAATTTCATGTCTATGTCTTTTGCGTTGTTGACAACAAATGTAGCCTCCCCTTCACTATGTGAATTCTTATTTGTTAAGTGTTGCATTAGTAGGTACAAGCCTCCTTCTTCCTTACCAACTTCCTTCACCTTCCCACTGCAAAAATCCTGGAAAACACAATAATTAGGGAAAAATATGACTGAGCATCCTAATTCCTTTGTGATTTGACTGACTGGCAAAAAATTGTACTTGAACTCAGGAAGATGCAATGCATTAATGATCACACTTCTTGCTGATAAAGCAAAACAACCAACATGTAAGACTTGTGTAGTGCTACCATTTGGAAGATAAACAGGTTTAGACTCTAAAAGTTGTGACACTGACTCCTTAACCATCATGTCTAAATTGGAGACCATATGATTATTTGTACCTGTATCAATAATCCACACCTTATTGGCTTCAGAAACAAAAAAGGTTTTACTTGTATTAGCAGTATTACACACAGAGGCAGAAGAGACATCTGACTTCTGTTGTATCATCATCAGAATATGATCACACCGATCTTTAGTAAAAGTGCATCCTTGAAGTAGTTGTTGAACCTCTTTCTAAGCTTGACTAACTTGGGGATTGGCACTTGGAGCTGCAGTTGTACTTCCACTATTAACACCGTAGTGCTGCTGATTAGGTATTATTCCCCATCCTGGAGAAGGAATATGGGTGTTGAGACCAAAGGTAAAATTAGCATGAGGAGCTGGTGCATATTGGGTAGACTAACTACTAGCTTGTGTGACAGGACCTCCTTGAGCCTTCCTCTTTGACTTGAAATCAGGAGGATAACCAACAACCTTATAAGAAAACTCTTTGTTATTCCCTTTGCATTTGCAAAAATCAAACACCAACAAGGAATTTTTTTAAACCTCTGACTCACACCTGAGCTACTACAACCTGAACTACTACCAGCCTTGGAGTACGTAGCTACAGAAGAGTCCAAACCAATAGTAGTCATGATCATGCTAGTGGTACAAAAACAACAACCTTTTGGCTTTCATCCCCAACTATCAAGCATAAAGCATGGTTAATTGATGGTAATGGATCCATCATAAGGATCTGACTCCTAGCCTGATGATATAATTTATTTAATCCCATCAAAAACTGGTATACCTTTTTTCTATTCATGTGAGCTACAAACCCCTTGGATATACCACAGTTGCAACAAAGAGCAGGTACCAATGCCTCAAACTCATCTCATAAACTTTTGAGTCTGGTATAATACTCAGAAATAGAAGCAGTTCCATGTTGCAAAGAAACAATATCTTTGTGTAGACTAAAGGTCCTAGATCCGTCAACTCTATCAAACCTCTCTTTTAGATCAATCCAAACACTTAGGGCAGTAGAAGCAAAGGCAATTCCACTAAGTAAGCTCTTAGACACAAAGTTCATTAATATACCATGTTAAATTAGGTCTTAAACCTAACTCACACTCCAAAAGCTAGCTCAAAGAGAGGAGAATTGTCCAAGCCTTATAAGGAGTCTACTTATCTCATTAACTACTAATATGAGACTTTTTTTCTTTAACACCCCACCTCATTCCCAGTGCTTAGCATCTGGTGCGTGGACAATTTTTGACCCACCTCACGCCTAGTGCTTAGCATCTAGTGCGTGGGTATTTTGGGTCATTTTTGGCCAACATGTATTCATCCCAAGTAGGATAAGGAAGTGTTGCCTACTACTTTTTTCCTTATTTATAGTGGAACTAATACCCCTCCGATAATATATATATATATATATATATATTTGCTAAGTTCCTCTTTATGGCTAGACCATCAAAGTGTAAAGAAACCAATTTCACAATCTGATTTGGAAGTATTTCATCTAAGAAAAAAAAATTCTACCTTGTAGATCCAATACATAAGATCTACTCCATTGAACCTGGGAAACTCTATTTTGGACAACCTTGCCATGGAGTTGAAGAAGTGCCCATGGACAGGAGGTCTTCATCCAGGGATTCCCACTAGTGGTTGGCCTTGGGACCGTCCATATGGCATTTGAGTTGTGGCTCCAGTGTGAATCTGAAAGGGAGTGATCCCATGTGTCCGGTAGATCCACCTCCCATAATAGGAGTATGATGCATAGATCCCCTCAGGGGTAACTGGAACAGAGGCAAAGCCCCCATTCCAGTTGATTACCACCAGGGGTAACCATAGTTGGATCTCCTTCTATCTGAGATGCAGAGACCCAAGCCATGGGTTGGCTAGAATGGCTTGGCTAGAAGGAGTGTAGATCTCGCCAATTCGCTCTGTATCTTCATGGTTCTTCCCTTTCTCATTTTCTTTACAACATCCAAGGACTCCTACAGCTTAGCAAAATACTTCTCATATTGTTCCTCTATTTGGTTCTGTCTGACAGAAAAGTTGGCTAACTGCATTATCATTTTGTCAAGCATGTCTTTGATGTCCCTAACTTCATTCCCTTTTTTTGTGTATCCACAAAGCTCAAGAAAGTGCTATGATACCAAATTATGCAACTAAGCTAAGGAAAGCAATAAAATAGTAAAGAAAACTAAGAAAAAAAATGAAAAGGAAAGAGTGAAGGACAAGTTTTTCTCTATTTAGCTAAACAATAACAATTCTCTGCATAGTTGCAAAAAGGACCATTACAGTACTTAAATAGCCAAGAAGTTCATTGGTGATCGTATGAAACTTAATTGCCCATCATTGGATCTAAAGTGTCCAATCACTCAAAAAATTCGGGCAAATTGACAATAACAAAAAATGACTTTTAAAACCTATTATAGATTAAACTGACAATATGAAACTATTCTTTTCAAATAAAATCCTAACAAACTTAATGGCTTGGTGTAACCCCTCAAGCACTCAGTACTAGCTTCCCAAGCTTTTGACTTCATTCTTGCATCAGGTGCACTTCCCAAAATAGTAAATTAAATTAGTGATGCTTGACATTAGTTTCAGTGATACAATGCTCCTTCAATCAATGTGTGTATTTGAAATTGTCAAAGAGATAAAGTCAACAACGAACCAAGGGTTTATCTGCTCTAAACCCTTGTATCAAAGGCAGATAGAGGCCGTATCTGCTAAAAGAAAATGAAGTATTCCAATGGAATATTTCCATTAAGTAAATTCCCTGTATTTAAAACATCAATTTCGATCTCCGTTAAGCGTTTTTCACTATGCGATTTGTAGGTATTTTGAACAATCAAAGGAGATTTCAATGGAGAGCGTGTTTTAATTTTGAACAAAATCACTTTGAAAGTGTGATTCGCATTGATTTGTAACATATTTTTTCTATTTCAATTGGTTCAATGGAGAAGCGTGTTTTAATTTTGAACAAAATCTCTTTGAAAGTGTGATTCACATTGATTTGTAACATTTTTTCTATTTCCATTGGAAAAGGACCTTTGTATCGCGCTTTTCAGTTATGCAGATATACAATATTCAGGAACACACTTATTTAGGCACGTGAAATGTCGCTATATACAAGATTCTCTTGAACACAACACCATTATTCACACGGGATAATTTACTAAATTACTCTCAGCTCTTTCTTAATTGAGTATTCAATGATTATATGTCTTGTTGGAGAAGGGAGAAATCATAAAAAGAATGATTAAACGTCTTTCTCAAAAAAAAAAAAAGAGGGACAAATATTTTGAACCAAATCGTTTAGATAAATGTTTGGACAAGACCACAATTGTTATAATTCCGATGCACGATCAAGCCAAGTGAAACAGTTACCACATCTCATAATGATCAAACGTTGACAAATAAAGCATAAGATATTCCTATCGTTGGCACATTTGCATAACTTGAGGCTGAGGAACTTAACGAAAGCAAGTAGAATGGTGCACATTATTAGAGGAACATATGCGGTAAATGGTAATATTCAGAGGAACATATGAGAAACATTACTTTTAGCTTTCCTTCTTTTTGTCAAAGAGCAAATTGATGGAGTATGTGTTGCCTTTCTGTGCACCAACTTCCACACGTTTTTCACCAATCTGTATAAGAATATATTGTTTAGAGGCTAATGAGATAGATATATCCACACCTTGGCATAATCTACTAAAAATTTAATACTTTTGAGTTATTTTATGCACTAGATCAAATCATGCAATAAGAAATTGTAGGCAACTCTAGATAAGAAGCATATTAAGTGCTCTGCTGTAGCAGACCAAAGTACATTGGCAGTGCAAAAGTTCTTTCAGTATCATTGCATATAAACTTAATTCCTCACCAGCTGGAACAATGTAAATCTTTAAATTTGTAAGTATATATAACTTTAAGTTTATAGTCCATTAGTCTCGAAACAGTTGCGAATTAGAAAGAACCAAAGTTTTGCAGAATAACTATACAATACCTTGTCCATAAGCCAATAGCCAACCGATGGCATATACTGCATCAAGTACATAACAGCAAGTACAGGCTGCATCAGTAGCCAAAATATTAGTGCTACTAGTAGCCATTTGCATGAGTGCAAGAGAAATTATTATGAAAGAAAAAAGAATACAGAACGGATTATGAAAGTTTTAATATAGAGTATCGGAAGTAGGAGTCCTACTTATGTGAATTGGATGGGACAATCAACACTCGAGCAGTTTGTGGTTCTTACATATTCCATATTATATAGCTAAAAGACATTGGACACTGTAACAGGACAGACCTTCGACTAAACTAAATAAAGAGCTGATGTTGGTGTAGTACGTTCACTTGAAAATGATCACAAGTATATTAAAACACAATAGGACATAAAGAAAATTAATAGAAGCTATCTGCAATACCCCTACCCCGAGCATGCTATAAATATTAACAAGTATCGTGTGAGCTCTAAAGATAAGAGTTTAAGTAGCACGAGAAAAATAGTTCTCACTAGGAACATTCCCATCATATCAAAACATATAATATCATCATGGACATCTTAATACTTTCTCATTAATTAGTGAAAGGTAATAGGGTACAAGGGTTAACCTTATAATGCATACATTTTTATTTTTATTTTATGACAAGGGAAACCCAAACCCGCAACCGCTACCCTTTGGGTGCGCACAGGGTAAAACCCCCGTTCCTATGCAATAGCTCGCAAACCACATAGGAGAGGTAACCCGCACTAGGCAAGCCCGGTGCGACGAACTCGACCCAGAAGGCAAACCTCTTGCTTTCGCTGGCATGGGGTTTCGAACTTGAGACCTCCAACATGGAAGTCTCAAGCCCAAACCACTGGGCCACTCCGAAAGGTCCTTATAATGCATACATTGTTTATATATATTAAGGGATATTTTTTGCCTATGTATGATCCAAAATAATTTGCAAGACTAACCGCCACTAATAATAGCAAAATACAAAACTATATAGGGTTTTGCTAACCTACGACATAATGGTAGTAGGATAGCAATATCCCACTTCTTGATTCTCCAAAATATCCTTATTGTTTTCATCCAATACATTAAGGAAAATTTTTAACATGGGTGAGGTACAACCAACAAAAGGTGTGTGAGGCTCATCCATGTTTGACAAGTGGCGTTGTGGTCCAACAAATAATTTTACTTTTCAGCCAACGTTAGTTTTTTGTGATGCTTAAATTATCATGAAAAATAAAATCAATTTAAATTTTTATGATTTTAAATTATCTTAGTACTAATAAAGTAGAATGATAAAAGAGGCAAAACATTAATTTTTTTTAATAGTTTGTCACACAAATTTTGTTGGTTGTGCCTCACCCATAGTAAAATTTTTGTACATTAAGTATATGGACTCTTTATTATTTACCATGTTAAGGATCCATTGGCTCCCATTTGGAATTCACATGGGAATGTTTACTAGGTAGAGACATGCATGAATCACTTAATAAGTAAATAAATAAACCTAGAATGTTAATTGACTTGGTTACTAAGTAATAAGATTCTTATAATTACATACTTGCCGACTTATCTAAACAACTCGTACTCATCTAGCAGACCTAGTTACCTAAACTGCCAAACGTCTACTATTTATAGTAGCTTATGCAGGAATTAAGTCCATAAATTGAGACTGCTCCGGCAACCAAACTCCAACCTGTAAGTTCTTTCACCATTTCCTTTATCTATATACTAGAAAGCTTTGTTGGGATTTGGGTGTTTTACTGCATCACTAATGCATTTTGATCTTTTGGTAGTTCAAAAAAATAGATACCAAGCTAACCTTATGCTAAATACATCTGCTGAATGAATTTTAATCTCTCACCATATTTTGTTCTTCTTGCCCTTAAAGGATGTATATCCTCGTGACAAGGATTTTACTTCTACTGTTTTCTTTATGATGAAAGAAGAAGAATATTCAACGACTGATTACATCACATAATCATACAAAATAACATATTACATGGAATTTGATTCTAATGTTTACTCCAGCTGACATAATACAAAAAATCTTTTCCCATCAAGTTGAGTATCGACTTGAAAGTCCCCCATCTTTAAGAATGAATCGCTCTCAATTATACGTAATATATGTGTGAATTGACCACAATAGTGGGATACTGAAATTAGTAACAAGTATTTACGCTCGGATTCAAAGTACGTGGAGACCTAACCTTTAGAAGAGCATTCCCTCAAAGAATATGGATATGAGTTTGAAATGCATTAAAAGATCTTCATAAATGTATTTTTTTCTCTCGTGCATGGGGAATGAGAGTGTGCGAGTGTCACCATATATATAAATTGCATGACCACTATTCAATTCAGAGGCTGCTTGTACTTATTTTCTTACTTTTAACAATTACGATCTATGACATACAAACAAGGAAAGGAGATGCAAATGATTTAATTTTCACATATGGTGATTATGTTTTTTCCTCTTTGTTTTGTCGAGGGTTTATCGGAAACAACCTCTCTACCTCCCAAGGTAGGAGGTAAGGTCTGAGTATACTCTACTCTTCCAGACCCACTTGTGGGATTACACTGGGTTGTTTTTGTTGATGATTATCTTGTCTAGTAAGCCTGATGGTTGTATTGGTGATGTATTGGGAGAAACACTTAGATAACTGAGTGGGTACTTGGACGTACGGGTTCAACGCGCCAGAACCACACATGCTGGTATTGGATTATCCAGTACATGATAGTAGTGTACTTGAATTCATTTCGGGTCTTGCTAGCATACTCTAGTCTATCCTACTTGTACGGCATTATGAGTAGGTGTAGTTCCCAACAGATCAGGGAAGATGGGTTGGTCGCCAAGATGAACACATGATGTATTATCTCAGTGTCTATATGGAACCTCCCCAAGGTAAGATATGTTTATGACCTACATGCAACATTTGATTGGGAAATGAATGACTTTTAAACGATTTACTATATGTATATTATTATTTGAGATTTTTTCAATGCATATGAGTAATATGATTTTGACATTGAAGTGCATGCTTTCTTAATTACTTTTTTCACCCTTTAAGAGGTCTATGAAGCTTATTGAACTACTTGGTTTTAAGTCCCAAAGTTCAGCCAGAGAACACAGCTTAACAGCCATCTTCTGCCAGTGTCGAGCCTCACTCTTCCTCCGTTGGTGGTGGAGTCGTTATTTCACTTTGTCAGTTGCATAATATTACTAAAATCTAGAGTCAAAGCTCCATGAACTCATTAGTGGGTGCAGTTTGGTTGTAAACCTAAAATTTGTATTGTGTATGTTAAGCTTATGTTAGTACTTTATGTCCCATGGAATAGATGTTTGTGGTCTTGCTAGTTTGAGATACACTGTTCGCTTGGTAGGGTTAGTCTACTAGGTGCCACTCACGGACCCATAAAATTTAGTTGTGACAGTGTCCCTATCTAAAAATATCCCCATCACCACCTACCAAAAGGAGAAGAATGAAAGTACAGGTAAGGATAAGTATAAATGATATCAGTGGCACATTCTCTTTACAAGAAAAATAAGCTACACGTCATGACAAATTTTATTGCATCTAGTCCAGCATATACACCCTTGCAGATTTAAAATTATACTCCCTTCGTCCCATTTTATATGACTCACTTTCCTTTTTAGTCAATGTCAAAAAGAATGACATTTTTATATTTAGTAACAGATTAATTTTAAAATGTCCATTTTACCCTTAGTGAAATGATTTATAGCCACACAAACACATATCATTTATTTTAGACCATAAGTTTCAAAAGTCTTTCTTTCTTTCTTTCTTAAACTCCATGCCAAGTCAAACTACATCACATCATATACAATGGGACAGAGGGAATAATAAATATGGCAGATCCTCCATGATTAATGAAATTCTGAAAACACGAATGCTAATTAAATGTCTTGATCAAACCTGGCAAGATATCCAAGCTTCCTTGATACCATGGCTGACAGCAACAATTATCAGCTCCGCACACCTTTCTGATGAAACACGCCGCTATATAGAATTTTAAAATAAAGATTTAACAGGACAATTTGCAAAAATTATTCACATGCTCCAAATGTATCAGAAAGAAGGAAAAATAGACTTGTTACTGAGAGAGGAAATTTATATAGAGTCCAAATCAGATGAATTCTTCTCTATGTAGCAAAGAGTACCACAGTAGCAATTTATTGTTGCAGAGGTTTCATAGGAGACAGATGAAAGCTTTAATACCATGTACTCTCTTTTAAAAATACTCAAAAGCTTTGAAAGCATAACCATATATAGCCAGAACTACAATCATCACACATTAAGTTTTATAAGATTCTATTTGGAAAGAGGCAAAACAAAAAATTCTCCTAGGCCCGTTTACCAAGACTTTTCTCTCTCCTACTTTCTAGGTTTATCGAAGCTCCTTTTTCTGGCTAGGGCAACCGGAATTAGCCCCTTCACTTCCTTCCAACAGTAATCAGTAATCACCCATTGTGGTAACTGACAAAACCCTTTCTCTATCCATTTTCCTTTGATTTGTACTAATTTTTCTCATGTGGGGGGGGGGGGGGGGGGGAGGGAACTTCAGACAATGATATTTGGTTCGACTGGGTTGAGAGAAGCAAAATAGGCTGAGAAGAATAACCATCAACAAGAAGGTTATGTAATGGATCTGCTTCATCCTCAAGGAAGCTTCGAATGATCAAAAGAATATGGTTAGGAGATGGAGGACAAAGGATCAAGTGACTTTTATGGTACTAGGAAATACAACGAACATGAAAGCTACATGAGCATTCTGTCACACAAGGGGAGGCTAGTGATATGGCCAAATTATACCTCCAAAAAGAAGTAAAAAGTAGTCGTTGTTCAAATATAGAACCTAACCAAGGTTAGGATTGATCTCACGAGGAATATGGGTTTGGATCAAGGTCAATTATGGTTATTTGCATTCTTAGTCATATTATCTTCGAAAGGTTGGGGGTTGGGGGAGGGGGGGGGGGTAGAATTTGTATAGTAAACAATCTTTATGTTCTTCAAAAGTAGTAAGTAGCAGAGTATCAAGTAATTGTGTTTTTTAATCGGTGAAAGACAAAACTAGGGTTTTATGATCATAATGAAGTCATAACGAAGTAAGACCGTATATTTGTAACCTCTTCTACTGTGTAGCATGCAAGATCGGTAAGTCAAGTTCACCTGAGTGGTTGGTCCCCTAAATAGATGAATATCACCACACAACTTGGTCCATCTACGGGTGTTTGTTTTACTAATCCTTATCTTTGATCCCAAATTAGCTATTCCCGAACAAGGTCAAGTGATTAGATGAGGGTTGATAGCCTCAAATCTCAGTTGTAAAATCTTTTTTCCCATTCGTTACTCCTTTGGTTCAGTAGTTGGCCCTCCAATTTTAGCTTCACAAATTGGCTTATAAGCACCTTTTCTTTCTCACACAATTCATAATTAAATCGTTGGGCAACAATCACATCATCCTTAACAATCAACTCATCATTTAAATTGCAAATACCCAAGCCAAACATCTCAACCTCATGAAAGAGCTCAATTCTTCTTTCTAGGACGTGAATCAATACATATTTCATTCCCTCATGAGGACCTCTAAATATATCTATTATTTTCCTACAAGGACCCATATACTAGTACAAGGTTTATTAGAATAAGCACACCTATCACCCCACATTTTTCCAGATGTCATCTCAAGAAGAGTAGGAAAAAAAGGATAAGAGTCAAATAATCACAATTAATCTAATCCAAAAACTATATTCCCTGACAACAATACCAAAATTTGATATGCCCAAATTATACCTCCAAAAAAAGGATAAAGTCGTTGTTGTTCAAATATAGAACCTAACAAAGGTTAGGATCGATCCCACGGGGAATATGATTTGAACCTAGGTCAATTGTGGTTATTTGCATTGTTAGTCGTATTATCCCCGAATCGCGGGGAAGGGGGAATTTGTATAGCAAAACCAATCTTTATGTTCTTTTAAAGTAGCAAGCAGCAGAGTACCAAGTAATCATGTTTTTGAATCAGTGAGGGACAAAACTAGGGTTCTCTGATTCCCATGAAGTTATAACGCAGTAAGACCGTAGATTAGTAACCTCTGCTAGTGTGTAGTATGCAAGATCGGTAAGTTAAGTTCACCTAAGTGGTTGGTCCCCTAAATAGATGAATATCACCACATAACTTGGTCTATCTACGAGTGTTTGTTTTACTAACCCTTACCCTTGATCCCAGATTAGCTATTCCCGGACAAGGTCAAGCTATTAAATAAGGGTTGATAACCTCAAATCTTCATTGTATAATTCATTTCCCATTTGTTACCCCTTTGGTCCAGCAAGTAAGAATAAGACGAGTTCTAACGTTTCCAACCGTCAAAAAGCAATCAAAACAATGGGAAAAACAATACATGCATGCACACTTTTCAAGGAATACTAGATACTAGATCTACTTTGTTACTTCTTCATGGTTCTCATAACCCTAGTTGTGAGTTAAGCTACTCATTATAACAAAATCAAGATTTACATTGGAAATCATAATTGTGAACTTACGAGAGAATAATTGAAATTCGAAAACTTGACTTAACAACTCAAGAACAATAATCAAGAATAAAAGAGAAGAAAAGAATAAACCCAAAATTCTTCGGCCTCCATGGAGGCTCTTCCAAAGTTCGCAAGCTATAAAATTTTAAGTTCTATATTGTGTGTAAGTTATGTAAGATTTTTTTTTTTTGATAAGATAAGTGGTATTAATAACACCATCAGGAAGATGCTAAATTTACAAGATAAGGCATTTGAGCTTACAAAAAAATCTCTCGCTAACTATACAAACTTTCTAAGCCAGAGCTAATGAGTTAGTAAAATCCTGAAGTTGTTTTGCATTAACAGCAGGATACAAGTTGGTCCAACTAAACAAATTTTTAGTGCACCAAGTCTTCATATGCCTAAAGTAGTTGACTCTCCATCAAAACATCTCTTGTTCCTCTCTAACCAAACACACCAAAAAATACAAGCAGGTATCATAATCCAGATCTTCTTGATGGCTTTGTCAACTTTCCATAGACTCCAACTCTCATATGCATCCTTAACAGTGAGGGGTGTGGTCCAATTGATGCCAGAGAGACAAAAAAACATGCTCCATAATTCTGAGGCCACCTCACAATGAAGAAGAAGGTGTATGGGGTTTTCAGCCTCTTTTTTGCACATATAGCATCTGTTTGGGAATTGGATTTTTCTTTTCTTTATGTTGTCTTGGGTGAGACATGCCTCATATAGAGCTATCCAGGTAAAAAAAACTACCTTAGGTGGTAGCTTGGTCCTCCAGATGAGTTTCCAGTATCAGTTAGCTATCACGGGGTTTCTAGAGCACAACTGTTGATACCCTTCCTTGACTGTATAAACTCCTTTCTGGTGTCCCCATTTGAGCTTATCATCTGCCTGGAGATTAATGTGACAATGTTGTAGTCTAGCAAAAAGGTCTACCAGATCATTCACTTCCCAATCGTGCATATTCCTTCTAAATCTCATATCCCAATTGATCCCTTCTCTATTAGCAGCAATAACAGAATTGGGATCTTGAGCAATTCTAAACAAATCTGGGAAATCCTCCTGAAGAGTGGTATTTCCAAGCCATTTGTCTGTCCAAAATTTTAGGAGTAAACCATTGCCCAATTCAAAGTAAGCGTTCTAATCAAATGTATCCCACAACATCCTAATACTCTTCCACAGTCCCACTCCGTAAGGAAGTGTAGTAATATTTGAGCACCATTGATTCAGCCTTCCATGCTTAGCTATGATGACCTCTTTCCAGAGCCCTGCGTCTTCCAAGTTGTATCTCCAAAGCCACTTCATCATCATACTTCTTTTGTGGGCTGCAAGGTTCTTAATGCCAAGACCTCCTTGGTATTTTGGTTGTGTGACCTTCTCCCATTCGATGAGATGAAATTTGTGTTTCTCCCTGTTGCCTTTCCAGAGGAAGTCCCTTCTTATCTTGTCAATCTGTTCTATAACCTCACTTGGCATTGGGAGCAAGGCCATGTAATAAGTAGGTAAACTGTCTAGAACACTATTGATAAGTGTTACTCTACCACCAAAGGAGAGATATTGCATTTGCCATGTTGCCAACCTCTTCTCAAACTTTTCAATAACCCCTGTCCAAATTTCAGTGGATTTATGCTGAGCACCCAAAGGAATACCCAAATAAGTGGAAGGAAATGAGCCAATGTTGCAGCCCATGATATCAGCCAGCTCCTCCAGATTTAAAACTTCATTAACTGGGTAGATAGTGCTCTTTTGCATATTCATGTGTAAACCTGAAATAGCTTCAAAAATAAACAAAGTTAGATTAAGCTGCATCACTTGTGATCTTTCAGCACCACAGAAAATCAATGTATCATCTGCATAGAGTAGATGCGATACATTAGCTTGAGATGTCGGATCTCTTCCTATCTTAATTGGCTCAATCCAATGCAAAGAACTTGCTTTCTGAATCATTTTGCTGAGGCCTTCCATTGCCAAGATGAATAAGAATGGTGAAATAGGATCACCATGTCTAATCCCTCTTTGGGGAGGGAAGAAACCCACAGGTGATCTATTCACCAAGATAGAATACTTGACTGTTGTGATACTGAATTTCATCCATCTTATCCATCTTTCACCAAACCCCATTTGCCTCAGGATAGTAAGTAAGTATGACCAGCTTACTTTGTCAAAAACTTTCTCAATGTCTAGCTTCACTAGCAACCCTGGTTCTCCACTCTTTATTTTCCAATCTAGAGCTTCATTAGCAAGGAGGGTTGCATCTGATAACTGCCTTCCTCGAACAAATGCATTTTGGCTTCCAGAAACCAATTTTCCAATCACTGTTTTGAGCCTGTTTGCCAGAAGCTTTGATGTTATCTTGTAAATGCTGCTAATAAGGCTGATTGGTCTATAATCTCTGAGCTCAATTGCCCCTTTCTTTTTAGGAATCAAGGATATGAAAGTGGCATTTACAGATTTGACCATGTGGC